TGCAACGGTAAACAAACTATTCACCGGGCCCCAGCCAACTCGGGAATGTGTCCATTCTAATTTGCTGAAATTTTCGTTTGTACGGTTCACCTTCCGTCTTGTGCGTTAACAGCAACTCCCTCCCCGGGGGAACCATAACACTTGACCCCACAACAACGGCGACCCTAGTGGGTCTATACAGTTTCACTGAGCGCACTTACCCAGATTCCTGCTACGATTTATCCATATTGCCCATCCCCCGCTTCATCATCCCCATTTACGCTTTTTGTGACCCTGGCCATAAGCCCAACAGCCCGAGACTTTAGTTCAAACTGACCGGCCAGATCGTGGCAACTCCGCTGGCAAGCCGGATCCGTTGTTCTGGTCATACACTTTTTCAAATTTTAAGTTATCTTATCATGTATCAGACAGAAGGCTTCTTTTATATCGACACTCGGTTTGTTTATGCCCTCAAATCCTAAAATCTGACGATTTCTCATCAGGATGTGTTCCTATGGTGTTTCGCACCTTTCTTTTGCTTCCATTATAACATTTCGTATTTTGTCAATTGCATAATCATTTTTTGTTTGAACACACAAAACTACAAAAACATGTACCTGTACAATTTCACGGGGTAAAAACTTAGTCACGTGCTTTGACTCTCTCTTCTGCTTTCGCTCGCGCTTATAGCGGTTATTCGCGAGTCTCATGTGCTAACTCTGGTATCATGACATTTGAGACCAATTTCGGAATCTATTTTAGGCGGGGACTGTTCAAAAGAAACCCCTGGAAAACCATGATTGGGTTTCTGTTTATTCGCTGACCTGGGCCAACGGCGAACTATTTTAAAGAGAACAATTCTTATGGCGTCTGTTTCATCTGACCTATTTAATATTGTATATTCAATCTAGAGTTATTATTTTTGTTTCTTCGCTACACTCATGGTTGCCAGATCACGACATCGCCGAAAGAAAGATAAAGTCCTAGTAAATGTGTTTCCTTGATCATACTAATTCGGGCGTGATCAAGTCCACATTGGATAATGCCCAATATTTATGACACGATCCCTTTTACGCGTAATCTCCAGTACCCCTAAGACTAGCCAGTCGTGCTTTTATTCGGAATGTAACAGCATGATCATGCCCGACGGTATACTACGGGCTTGTTTGGAATAAGGATTATTATTATCATCATTATTATTGTGTCCACCGAGAGAACTCCGGTGGTTTTCCAACGAGAGTTCATTGTCTGTTGTCAGTAGCTGTCTTCTTACTGGTGACCAATTCATCGTTCCTACTGAATTTCGTCGCCGGGTCATAGCACAGTTCCACATAGGACATTGGAGGATGAGCCGTACAAAGGCCCCCGCTCGCAGCTTAGTTAAATGGCCCGGTATGGATGAGCACATAGTGCAGGTATCTTGTAGTTTCGGATGCGCCGGTGACTGAAAATTACCCAAGTGACAGCTGCTGTAGACTATGCCACAGCCAGAAAAGTCATCCATGTGGATTTTGCCATACCAACTAGCGGAAAAAGCCTTTTCTTCGTTGTTGATGCATTCTGTAAGTGGCCTGAGGTCCTTGTTATTTCTGAGACAACAACGATAACTAGACTGCGGCATTTGTTTTTAATATTAGGTATCTTGGAAACTACGGTGTCCGACAGTTGTATTCAGGTTACACGCCATCAGTTTAATGAATTTGTTCCAAGACACGGCATTACACGCCTTACCCCTCCACCATTCCACCCCTAGTCGTAGACACCTTTAAACGTACGTGGACAAAAGCAGAGTGGGGAGGAACCACGGTAGAAACCCTGGATACGTTTCTGCTAAACCACAGAGCAACTTCAAATCAAGTCTCCCGAGGGTTACTCTAGCAGCGGTTATGGTAAACAAAAGTTTAAGACTTACCCATGGTGCTATCCTGCTAACATTTACGTGATTTCAATTGCCGAAAGCAGGTTAGCAAAATTCCAGGCCCGGAAAACGTGTGCTGGTGGGGGACTATAGCCCTGAGCACAGAAACTGGACTGTTATACCCGTTCTCAGAAGGATCGGTAAGGTAATTTATGACATCCGCGTAGGAACGTCAATGTGGAAAAGGTACATTAATCAGCCACGGCTTACTGAGTGCCCTATCCAAAAAGCGGAGGGACAGCCACTAAGCCTCAACCTGTTGCTCAGACCCTTTGATCTCCAAGAACCAGCACCCATAACGACCGCTGCACGTGTGGCGCCCAAGAGAGAACCATTGGTACTATCGAGAACGGTGTCAGTGCACCAGAAGACTTTTGGGACATTTTTATCCTTCATCTGTGCCAGCAATCTCACTTTGTGTGGCCAAAACGGGGAAGTGTCAGGGAGGTCAAATTACTGAAAATAAACCCCAGAATGCCAGGGACTTACGGAGACTCTATAACTCCACCAAAATCTCAGTAGGAAACCGACAAGCATCCAGACCAGTCAATAATTTGATCAATTCTGCAAAAGCCGATGAGTTTTGAGGGGTGCCACAGAGGCGAGACGGACTATGATAAGTGTTCAGGCATTCCACAGAAACACGTTACGGAGACCTATAACTCCACCAAAATCTCAGTAGGAAACCGACAAGCATCCAGACCAGTCAATAATTTGATCAATTCTGCAAAAGCCGATGAGTTTTGAGGGGTGCCACAGAGGCGAGACGGACTATGATAAGTGTTCAGGCATTCCACAGAAACACGGTCAATACTGATGGGTACTTACTTAAACGTCGATCAGACAGCCTGGATCAATGTCAAAAAGTCCCCTTTTAATAGTGCAAGACCGCTCCATCAATGGTGGTTACACGCTTCACGTCTTCATACTGGTCACATCTTTTCCGAATAGTGTGGAATTGCTAATCTGGATAGAGCAGCAGTTTTGTTGTAATTCGGGCAACTGAATACCAGCAATGAGTCTAGCACTCAGCTGGTCTTCTAGTTAGGCACCGTAGTCACACTTGGCTGCCTGTGTCTGTACCTACAGTTAAAAATCACGAACTGACCTGGAATGGGATAAGGTCAACAAATTGAACCTATTGGCTGCAGCCAACTTAAATCGTTTTAAGCGTTGAAGAAGTGTTTTATTCAGTACACTGTAGGAAATATCGATTGGAGATTCAGGGTATACCAACTTCTTGATCAACGTATACGCCTCCTTGCCAACGAAATGTAGAAAATATGCCGTGCGTTTCATATCATCCATATCGGGTTTTGTAAGACACCAGATCCGAACGCTCCAAACAATCATCTACTTCTCGCGAAGTTGAATTAACGTTTAATGGTTCCATTTCTGCAGACGTGATGAATTGTTCCGATCGCAATGCCAAAACATAGGGAGTTCAGAACGTATATCGGTGTGCAGCATTTGGAATATCAAAACAAGAGACTAATGGATAAAGCAATGAACAGAGCATCAGTTATGTTCATCACACAGGCTTCGAGCAGTAGAAGTCTGTTTTCAAATTTGACCAAGAATACAGATATCTAAAGGTGCAATGCGGATCGAGATTTCTGGGCTTATTGGTGGATGTAATTAGCAGGTGGATCGACCAGCGTGGCTTGATTGAGGGTTAGCGAGGGGGGCGACTGAGGACCAGTGAACGAGTAGCTAGATGACTGACAAATCATAGTTGCCCAGTTCGCGGTTGTAAGTTTGCCTGAGGTGTAACAAATTAAACATCTACTTGAATATCTGAAACACACGGTAACGGAACGAGCGAATGAGCGAACAAATGGAGTGAACTAACAATGCGGTAGCATAAAATCTACGGTGGAAACCTAAAACGAACAGAGAACTACAAATTTCCATGGATTCTCAGTGGGAATCTACGGAAAACCCACACCTTCAGACAGGTACTTACATCATCAGTATTCTCATGTGCACTACCTTGAAAGCACAGTTGTCACATCGTTTGTGAGCCAAGTTGAGAAACTGCGCTCGAATGAGTTCGTATGAATGCTACCGCAAGCGGTGAGATAGGAAGACCAAGACCCTGTGGTCACCGCAGGAACACCCTAGAGAAATGGCAATTCAGAGGCTATTCGTGGCACATTTCGAGGTTATGATAGTAAAACTTTTCCTAACCGATAACACCATACAACGATATGCTGCAAGTCCTAAGAACCCCGTTGAACTGAAACACCGCACAAACTGACCCTACCAAATCAATCGTGGAGCATGTGCAGCCAAATACCTGGTCCAAATCACGTAGCGCAAATGACATGCGTGTTCTCCTACACGAAATCCAACTGAGTCAAAATATTGAAAGCGACTCCACTCTACTTGGGTCCCAAGTCACACTTGAAGTGGACCTGCGCGCTAGCACTAGAATTAAACAAATAACAGAACTGCCCCAACCGTAGTGGCGGAGCCAGCACCTCGTTTATCCGGTTTAGACTTCATGCACATCTTAGTAGACATGGTGGCCAGAGGTCAAGCGGAACTCTCAATGACGAGACATTGCAACCAGCACAACAACAAATGAAGGCATCCCAGACAGAAAGTACATACACAATCACGCGTGCATGCACACAGAGCTAACACACAGCCACACACAAACCGCACTTCGCTCGTATACAAATGATTGTAAAAATCCTTGGAAAAAGACTACCCATGGCACCCAAAACGTCGGATCAAAAGATTTTATCCCAACATGGTGTGTTCTGACCTTGAACTTTTCATAGGTACAATGGCTGTAATCATTCAAATTTACTTCTGTGAGATCTGTTACCTCACATGTACCATGAAGGTGAACGAAAATGTGTATTTCGCGGGACCATGAAATTATCCTATAGCCATGCTTCAGATCTATAAAAGCAATTGCAAACAGGGAACAATTCAACCGAATACTGCAGGGTGAAACCGACCCGGTTTCTTCGTAGCACCCCATAGCGCTGCACAAATAGTGAGAAAAGTTTTTATTGTGAAGCAAATATACAGAAAACTGGTTTTCAATAAAACTTGATGAAAAGTCGTGTAAAACTCTGAAATTGGGGACTCAACTTTTTGGCTCTACTAGACTTTCATCATATCTGTATCGTTCATTCCATCCACCCGCACTACCAGCCAGATATGGAGAATATACCACGTCCTTTCTTGAAATAAAGAGGATTTTCTCGAGGATTTCGAGAATAAGCTCCTCAATCTTTATCTGTAACCATCTAGGTGTATAGCCATCACGAGATGACCGAACAAGCGTGATAAGAACAGGTTTAGCGTGTAACGAATGCAGAATATCGGTGAGGCTGGAGACAATACGCGTCAGATCGTCTGAAGTTGTCCAGTGTTCGAGAACCATACTGAATTCAGGTGTGTTGTGTCCAATACACAATTTGATATGTGGTTCGTAGTCATGGGTTAGCCATGAATTTGTCAGACACAGACCAATTCTTGAAAGACAAGAGAGTTTTTTATTTGTCATTTCTGGATGGCTCAATATTTCAAACAACTCTGTCAGCTTCGAGTCGGTAGATTCAGGGCAAAATCTTTTGTGGTTATCCCTAGAAAAGTAACGGGATGTAAATTCATGAAGTTTTGTGACACAATCTTCCCTTTGTGTGTATGCTGAGCCTGGATCACCGGAACGCGAACAATTATTCTGAATGAGATGAACCAAACGGTGAAACCATCGATCAGTGTCCATCTCAAGACTGAAGTCCTCCGGACAGAAAATCGATTGGATTAATTTATCTAGTTGATGCACAACCAACAATGGTATACCAACTTCAGTCAAGTTTTGTGCAACCAAGTGAACACCGAAATAATCTTCATCAATGTCCAGGATCAGAGGGTGATTTTGGTAGTGCTCGAGAAATTCAGAAGACTGAGCAAGGGAAAGATTGCTTCGGAATAACCGGCTGATGTTTGGTCTTAGTGACCGCAGAATTGAGGGAGCAGTCGTAACGTTTGACTCGATTAAAGTGAAAGGCCAGAGAGACGAGCACTCTTCTCTCTGTATTTCAGGATTCGTGTCCGAACCATCCATGCTACGTACTTCGCACACCGATGAGTTTTCTTTACAGAGACAAAAGTCCACTTCGTCCGACTGGCGATGTAAACCCAAATGACAGTTCATCAGCATAGTCGTCGTTTCCATCCACGGTGGATAGATGAGGAAGACAGACTGGAGCATCTGAGCAACAATTGCACCCTGTTTGAAACAGACAAGAAAAAAGTGTTAATAATACCAAACGTGCTCTTTTGCGAAGCAATGTAGCACACATTTCCACAGTACTCTGAAGTTAACGGTGAAAACAACTGAATATTTGTTTATGATATTCTTCAACTGAATATGCCACATAAGAGCCGTTCCATTTTTTGGTTGACACGGTATTCGTGATATCGCGGCATACTGTCTTGAAATTACAAATTACTCGTAAGGTTAATGGGAGCCTTTGACAGCTTCCCACGAGTTTTACCACTTGCGCACCATCTGGTGTACAGATAGAAAATAAATTTGGTGGAAACTGTTGGATTATGCTTATATGACGGGAATTTTCAATGAGACGTAGGTTCCTGTCAAGCTGTTCTTTAACAGAAATCAGCCTGTATCCCTTCAGCTGCGTATAGATCGTGCAGGACATCCTCTGATGCTTTTCGCTTACAGCCAAATTCTGATTTTGAGAAAAAAACTGTCCGGTCGTGGGTTGTCGAAGAGTTTCCAGCAATCTTGTGACCAGTATATTACGTGTATACAAAGGTACGATTGTTTCTGATTTCATTTAACTCCGAACTGCACACGGATAAGCTTGGTTGAAACAGACTTCTAGTTAGGTAAATAGGCAAGTGCTGTTTGGGATTTAAGGATAACTCATTCGACGAATGGCGACATAGTTAAGCGATTTGGCAGATAACCAACTGTGACGATGTAGTTATCTCACGGACCTGAATATCCGTGGGCACTGCCGTGGTTTCCAGCATCCACTTAATTTTCCACAAGTCCGTAGCATACGGACACGTGTGGCACGATAAAACTCTGAAAATATGAGCACCGAAATTCGCACTTTATGGTACAAAGTCCTCAACGGTGACTGTACACTATACAGGAGAATGTTGGTGGTTCAGGTAGTGTGGATGGTCTTTGGTCTGCTTACTGACCTGGGAAATTTGATTTCAAACATATTACCGGTCAAGGGGACACCATCAGTGCGTGGAGGGGGGGTGGCTGAATAGAGCGTAGCGATGAGTCAGTTGTTGTTAGATGCGACCATCTACTCATCGCTACGCTCCACTGCGCTCCCTAACAACGTACTGATGGTGCCAGCTCGGATCAGTGCTAAAATGTTTGCAATCGAATTGTCTAGCTCGAGGAACAAACCAAAGACCAATGACTGCACGCCTTAAGGAAAAGTAGCGCTTCGGAGTTTAGATTGAATTAGCGCTCCTGATTCATCCCAATCAGGCAGTTTCCACATTGTGACAGAATGAATCATATCAGACTTTAAATTGTGGATGTAATAGTTTAAGCAACATCAAGTTTGGGATACTAGACAGAAGGTACGGCTGGAGGGGTTGGGAAAAAGTATTGTCCGTCCCTTTGTAAAGTTTTTGCCTATCAGCGCGCCTATCACCCACCTTGTTTCTGTGAACATCAGAACTATAGATAAACAATACATCACAGTTTATCAGAAGGTGCTGCATTTGGGGTATTAAGTCTGGAGTTAAAAATCGTGTGATTTACGGACAGTGGGACCATTTTAAGGATCGGATCTAATTTGTTTCATGCGTTTTACTGTTCCGATGAAGAATAGGTTGGTGATGTCAGTGTCATTGAGATTTCAAGAGTAATATCATGGTCCAGTTTCCTGCCTCACTTTTAGACCTCTTGACAGTGTGGTAAACATCAGGCGTCCAGTAAACAAATGAAGTTGGTAATTTATTTACTACTTTCCTGATACAATGTTTGTGAGATTGATGGCACAAGTAGGTGGTTTTTTGACTAGGAGAACACATCGAACAGACAAACATTTCGACGCAGTAATTTATCAGTATTTACATCCGTCCGACGAGGAGTATTCCGATGCTGGTGTGAGAAACTTTGGCAGTATTCAATGGTTTTATCCTGTCAGTAAAGCCAATCTATGCCGGATAACCGAGGAGTATTGTAAAGCTGTTTCATCTTCCTTGTGAATAACCAGCAGTATACATCTCACGAAATTCAGAGAGCTTCAAACTCGCGAACTTCCGGACAGTGGTTGAATACTCAACCATCTGCCTAAGAGTACCTGACCAGGACTGTAGTCAGCTCTCATTTATTCCGTCTCTCTGTGTAGGTCTCCTTGTTATAGATCGTGGTCCCACTGATCCAACCACTGTGGCGGTTCAGTTTTGTAGCATATGGAGCCCTTCAGCTGTTTTGCAGTTTCTTGATTAGTGTTCAGACACCTCATTCATTGGGGTCTCTTTGTGAATACAATCGATAAGGCGGCGCGATGTCATTCAACACACGTGTGTTTCTCTTTTTTGCTTCTCAGTGTACGGGTTTCCATGAGTATAATAAATACATCAACGCGCACTATGATTTTGTATTACTCCATGGGCTGTACAGAAGTAAGGAAGCCAGTGTTACGAAAAACTGCAGGGAATTTTAGTAAAGTTATGTTGATTCGATGTCAATACGGGGTAACAGTTTGAATCGTTCAGTCACAGAAATCTTAAAAGAAGTGAATGGCAGGAATTGATGATTTGGTAATTTAAGCGTTAGTGGGTGCGAGAAGCCAGAATACGTGTAAAAGAAGGTACAACAGAGAGAGAGGAGAGAGGATCTATCTGCTCAATTGAGTCATGAAATTGTATCCATGATGGGTACCGGAGTGTTTTCAGACGAAGTGATGAACTCAAAGAAGAACTCAACAGATACAACCATCAAATGTCAGTTTCTAGAAGAACATTCGCGCGAGTGGTTCGTCCATTAAGCATGTTATTTCCGCCAAATAAGAATGAACGAATAAAATTATGGTTTGATTCTGAGAAGAAATGTATATTAAAAATTACCTGCCCCACACATTTCTTGGAGGATCACTAACTCGAACTGGTAGACATCGGCAGAAGGTTTGAACCTACTCATTAAAGTTCTCCTGGCACCTCTCGTGTGACTAAGTGCAAACGGTGTCATTTACTGTCCCTCAGATTGAAAACGTTTTCGCATGTACAAACAGGCTACTGTCATTTGGGAGTAGTAGGGACTGCAAATGCTTCCACCTAGGTGTCTGAGTCTGGGGTTGAATCAGGCCTAACCGCTAATTCATTATACATATAGGTCTCAGGAAACTATTTCGGCCATAGTCCATCCCATGTAACTTAAGCTTCATCCCATGATCAGGGATCGTGTAACCCTAATTCGATTACATGTTGTACCCCGTCTTGGTAACTTAAAGCTTACCAGCTGGCAGTTCAATTTACTCCGATATTTTGTAAAATGGCATGTTCTAGCTACTTATGAACTTTACTGTGGCGTCACAGAAAACGTCAAGAGATGGAAACATTTCACTGTTCAACAGAACTCAGTTTCAAAACACAACATTTTCCAATAAACTAACTCCTTAGTAGATCAATTAAAAGGAAAACAAAGTAACTGAATGGATCAGGAAGCCAGCCGAAAGGTAATTCATTTTAAAATTACATTTAATGTTATGAAGCAATATCTACCTGAATAAACTGATCATTCCCTTGCATCAGCGCTGAAATTTCCAAGTCATTCTTCGGAAGTCGACCCATGGGAAATTCTTGTAAGTAAAAAGGAAAGTCCATGTCACTGTGGGCATCTATGTGGATCTGGAAATAATCGTGATTCCCGAAATTAGGACAGCTACAGACACCCGAGTGGCATTGCTTCGAGGAATGTACGTCATTGGACTCCAATATCAGTGAAGAATGTATTCAAATTACTTAGCACATAAAGATGACTGGAAAATCAATAAGTATGACTACCTAATAGCTTTCTACAAACGTTTGTTCATTACAAACTGTATTAGGCAAGATGAAAAAACTCTAAGGGGCCGTGTGAAGTATCATATTTTAAATTATTACAGCCGCTGTCGTGCGTGAGGAAAGTACGAAGGTTCATGAGTTCAGGGTTGTTGTTTCAAACTGCTCTTGATACTGCCTTGCTATAAACAGCCGAACAGAATTGCAGCCCCACGTGAATCATGTTAACAAAGGTCACTCTCCCCGAACGGGATGAAACTCTCCCTATTTTGTGACTTTATGCTCCCCAACACGAGTGTGATAGGAAAAACGACAGAATGATTCTTCAGCCAACAACAAAATTGTACGACATTGTCGTTTGCAGGAAAACACCTGCAATTAGTCTTAACTACAAATTGCTGGTGCTTCACAGTTTATGGAAGAATCTCGCGACATGGATTCTTAGCAAAACCCTTAACAAAACTGAAATGAATAATTCGTTTTTGCATCAAATTGAGCTAAAACTCCAGTGCAATTGTTGAACACTGCTCATGTTCAAGGTCTGATTTGAGTGCATTCACTGGATTTTTGTGAACAAACTTAACAAACTTCTTTGGTCCAAATATCCGAGATAAAGCTCTTCAAATGGACCTACCAACATGAAGTGAAAATAGAGATGTTTTGGATCAACGAAAACTTTCAAGTCTGAATTGCCGTTTCAACTAAACAGCCAGTTCACCATACAACACCTTTATTCTTCAGGATATCCTAAATGAGATAGTTAGCTCGACTTCATCTGGATCTTCCGTTAACACAAAGTTAATTTGCAAGTAAGTCGACAATTTAGTTTTAAAACGGGGAATAACATATACGTCAAGCTGCTGGGTCCCAAGAGGACAGAAACTGCTAGTGCCTATGCAGGGGTTTTTAGCATACTTATGGAAACTGACGTGTCAGGAACCATTTGAAATTTTGTCCACTGACTTCTAATGGCTAGTCAAACACTATTGAAAATATTACGCATATCGAATTTGAATTATTTCCTAGTAAAACTACTGACATTATCTATGTGGCTGTGCTCGTTAGTTGTTGATCGTTTAATACAAAACCTGTTTTCATAATCTCTATCAAAATTCCCATAAAACCTGCGTACAAATTAGGTGTGATGCTGCTCAATTAGAGCAATATCCCTCAAATTGTGTCGACGGGCTAGAATTACACTGCGGAGTAGTCAAGTCTTACTTCGTTCGTGGCTTTAGTCCCAAGGTTCCTTTCCACAGTAAAACAAAGGAGCCCGTGCTATGAAATCTCTTTAGGCATCACATAGTTGATTTTCCAGTTTTCCATACCATCCTTTGCTTTTCGGCCTTTCAGTTTAATCCCCCCATGACTTCTTACGTTTTTGGGATCACGACGTGTTGCATAAAACGCCGTTTACATATGTGAAGTGGCGGAGACCTAATTAAAACTCACTTTATGGAATTCCTGATCATTGAACTGACATTCTTTTACTTCGCGAGGATATACATAGGTTGTTAGATTACACTTCATAATGCTCGGTGAAGCACCGCACATACTAAAATAGACTTTTCAGAACAGGGATATTAGTCCATAGGTTTTTACAATTAAAATACAGATGGTCAAGAATGTTTAGAACTAGAGAACTACGCAGAATGCCCCCAAGTGCATGAGTCTCCCAAATTAAGAATCATTGAGAACGATGCGGGCGAATTCGTGCACTCATCCCATGACAATCACGTGACATTGACTGGGTTTCGGTATTTTAATGCATTGCTCATATTTCTGTCTGTAGTGTTTCCAGGGTCATTGTTGAATATAACTTGACCTTATGAGGTGCCCATTATCCGCACAATGCTCCCAGCTGCAAAACATTTACAAGTGGGGTAAAGCTTTCTACGCCAAAATGTTGCATTTTGTTGCGTATGTGCTCAAACCAAAAACCGTCCTAATCTACATCCATATTTTTGCAGCTCACCAGATTTCGTTGTTCACTGAAGCAACCATTCTTCTGGCTAAAAAGGTTTGTGGGATAATTTCCCAGCTTCGCTGAGAACCCAGGATGCCTAAATCGGGCTCAAAAGTTTGAACTGGCACATCCAACTCAGTTGCCAGATTACTTTAGTCCACCAAGGACACGTCATAACTTTCGAAAGTTATGTGCGAATACTGAGCGCCCCTTGTGATAATCCCCCCTCTGTCTATGTACTCTTGTTCTCCAGTTGTTCTGTCTGTCCGTACCCGCCACTCACCTTTCCACAGAGGCCGTCCTTTCCGACACTTTTGTATTGACATGTGTCTGTGTGAATGTGCGCTGCTGACCTACTTACCCATGCGTGTTCATGTCCCGTTTGCTGAGCCTGCTTTGACTTGTTTTCTCATGAGTTCCGTGTCACCGCACGTCCAATGGGAATCACGAGAGTCGTCTGAAGGGACGACCGCAACCCACGCTCCTGAGCCATCACGCCGCTCGCCGTTGTTTGGCGTGCAGACGTTGACACTGCACCGTGCAGGTCAGTGACCTGTCAGCTTGTTGACTCCACGAACGCGAACAATTGAGGTTTGTTGTACACATTTGCTTACCCTTTCGTAAATAGTACCGTAGAATTACGAACCCAATCCTTCCTTTTGATATTCGGGACTCGAACCTACGCGTCACTCAAAGTTCCATATCGGGAACCTCAACAGTCACGTTACACAAAATTTAGCCATGATTACTGATATCCTGATAAGATATCTAGAAGTGTTGTTTTACTGTTACTTTACAGGCATGCTTGAAGGTGCATCTATAAAATTGTTAGAAAACTTGCCAGGTTTGCCTTGATCCCTCCATGGGAGTTAACCGCATGCAACCAGTAGGGTATCACTAAAAATTGATACAGGAAAGAGAAACGCTTTAATCAAAAGTTTGAAAACTAACTAATTCCGCATCAGCTGCTTAGGAGGAATTGATTTGCAACTTTTTCGGGTGGAATGTGCTTAGAGAGACAGTGTATTGCATAGCAAGCCATTAGAAGGTCTTCATAGTTATCAGACGAAACGGATGCTTGTTGGGGCGCTTAGGGTCATCTGTACTTCGTTAGTGCAGATTAAACCGGAGGTGTTGGAGAACAGTTTATGTGCACAGTGACTAGGTTTGTTTGGTCGATTGGCGAAAGCTTCCACTGTTGGAAACAAACTACATTCGACTTGTCTACTTGTCTACGCCAGACAAGGTGAATCAGTCAAAATGTTTGACTGGTGTTCAGTCAGTTTTTAGACTAAACTCAGTGCTTAGGAGTTGCAGTGAACTCTCAGAGTAAAGTTGATGTGGATTAAGGCTGTAGTATAAGTTTTTGCCACGGCTTGTTGTCTATTTCTGCAACACTGTCTACTTAAAAAAAACAGCATAACTGACCTACTGGCGTTGTCAATCTGCTGCTGGAGATAACGGCGGTAAATCTAGAAAACATTTTTGAATAAGCGGATTAAGGAGAATGTCTGGTCCACTTTAAATCGTATATTCAGTGCAGAACTTTCTCACTGTCTCTGACAAACAACGAACATACGTTCGTCTTCCTTTGAGAGGGAGGAAACTAATGAAGCAAGTGTGATAGATATTCGGTGATGTCTAACGAAATATGCTTCTCCAAATCAGACTTTTTCTCCTCATATTTGGAACCTTCTGGGATCACGAACCAGCGCAAGTCTTTCACCACTTTCAACGTCATGGACACAGACGTTGAAAATGATGGGAACTTCCCCCTTTTTGGCCGCAGTACACTACTTGGGATGTAACATCCCCACATGTACTTTAAATTAGAAGTCACCAGATGAAAAAAAATCATAGCTGACGCACCAACTTGAGAGTCTCAAACCGGACCATTTTCCTTGTTGATCGTCGAAAAAGAATTCCACCTCCTTTTCGTGTGCACAGCAGAATCAGCGTTTCATGACCTCGTGTACAGATGAACGTCACGTATACGTTGAAAGGATCTTGAACTGCTTTCGGTAGATGGGCGTTTTTGAGAGCCAAGCAAAGTCAGATGAACACTTTAACCTATTAGGCTAAATGTACCGCATATGTTGTGAGTTCTTACGCTTTTTCCGGAAGGATCCGGAATTTAAGTTTTTCACCAAGCCAAATTGTGACAGGATATACCCTTGTGTAAAAGCAAACTTGTAAAGACCCGGCAGAACTTATCAGTACGCTACAGTGGTTGCGATCAGTCTTATTCATTCAAATGCTCATAGATAGATAAGCCCTGTTGGATTTAGACGTGAGACTCGTTTGGATGTACTGGCCTTTCTCTTATAATCTGCTGTTAAATTCTATAAACTTCACAGCGTCATCCAGTTTGCTCATAAAGATTGTTTCCAAACTTATTTCAGGTCCATTCGCAAACACTTCATCATCATATTTACAGCGTTCAGCTTCCAATCAGGCGACAACTAGGTTTCCAATCTGACTCATACACTCATCTGCATACCACTTGGACTTTGACGGGAGACTCACCTGGTATCCAGTTGGATCTCTGGTCTATGATGCACACCATCGATGGATCGTCAAAACCAAATTGGTACGCAGATGAGTATATAAATCGAATTTCCTGCGGTTCTGGTTCAATGTAGCACGTGGTTAATGGAAATTAGGGGACGGTGTCCCAAGAAGGGTGAAACCGGTGGTCGGCTGTCAAATAGTTTTCAGCAACATTATGAGTAGTAAGTTTCCATCTATAGGTTTCTGATAATTATGTATATGCTGATACCAGGGATAAAAAGTATTGACTTAAAAAGAAAGGAAAGAAATTTATTAGTGGTGGTTACGCTGACAGGCAGGGAATGTAAATGTTCAAACTACACTTTCAGTATGCGAAACTCTGGCAAGCTAAAATACCTTTCGGTCACTCGAGTAATGTGTATTTTTCCCGGCATGCTTCAATGTCGTGTGATATATTGTGACCTCGTCTATTGGTGCCATCGCTTTGAAATGTGGTAAAGCGTGTGAAAAGACGCTATGAACAAAATAGTTCAGTTCCAGCCGTCTGACGTATTTTTTTAGTAATGTTTAGATTTTTGGACGTCTATCTCAAAAAGATTGACTTTGCTTAGCACAAAATCCTTTCGCACACCTGACTGTTCATGTAACAGCACTGACAGGACAGGCTCTATCATGAGATACTAATATTAAGGATAGCATCGATTGAATCACGTTGTACAAAGGGATAATTTCAGTGTACCTCGTTCAGCTCCCTTATATTTTATGCAGAGAAGAAACAAAAAGCAAGACTGCATCTCACCTAATCTAACTCGTTCAACCTGCAACCTTCACGGAACCAACTGATGACACTGAAAAGCCTGCCAAATTTGTGGCTAGTTAATTTACTCCCAAAAATGCCTTCTGGGAAAACCATGGTGACTCAAGAAGGACAGAAATCATAAGGAGAATAATTTCCTCTCATGAGTTGAATGAATCTTCGTGGACCACAATTAATTATCAATATTCCGGAGGAGAGACAACTGAGTTACTTTGAGATGGGATCATCGTCCGGATCAAAGTCTGATCTACCTGTTTTTTCTGATATAAATTTCTTACTGTTTTCATTCTAAGTGATTCTAAGTGACAAGCACAGAACACAAGACAAGCTAACTGAATCTGATTGAAACTAGACTTAACTTAGACAAAAGACATTACTGAGATTACTCGCTAACCTGTTTTAGCTTATCATTTATAAAGACATGACAAATTAATATTTATTTATTCATGGACAGTTGGTTGTAGGAGGTCGCAGTAGGTGCCCAAGAAGAGCCAAGGCTGAGGGATGGAACCTCAAATCTCTTAGTTATTTGTCAGCATAAATTAAGCCATTCATTTTTTGGATTGGCAACCAGGATACAAATTCTTTCGGCTCTTCCTTCCGGGCATATTCGATCAGAGCGAAACACCAAGCGAAGAAAAGTGATATTGGATAACCTCACCCTCGTGATGTTCTTCAACAATGTATACACGAAGTTGCGGATTCTCTCGCTCCTCATCGTAAGGAAAAACGTTGTTTTGATAGGCTCCAATATGCCGTCTCTTTATTAGACGTTCTGGATGCTCGTACAAGTTTAGACGTAAATAAGTTCCATATAAAACCAGCAGAAGTAAGCAGACCAGAAATATCGCACTCCTGGAATATGACAGCCGCCGGATACAAAAGCTGAAACACAGGAGATAAGACAACGATCTTCGGGGACTAATTTACTTGATGTGATCACATGCAAAAAAGAGACAAAAAGTAAGTTTGCAAAGATCATTTTCTCCTATATGGAGAAGATAATAAGGCAGAACTGATGTGTGGTTTTCTGAAATACATTTAAATCATCAAACCTATGGGTGTAGCCACCAAAACGAAGATTCAGCGCAGGGCGCGGAAAACAGCGAAAAATGTAACAATATGCCTAGTTTGGGTCATATCAGACGCGATGAAGAGTGGTGGGATGTACACCCAGTTGGTACCCTCTGTGGGTCCCTGAAGGTCGCACAGTAATGAAATATTTAGTTAGATATTACCTCCTTCTTACATTAATAATAATAGTAGAGCTGCGTTTCAAGATGAACACCGTTCAAAAACTGTATTCACATTGTACATGTAAGGAATAGTGTTTAAAATCTGGGGAGTCAGAGTGTAGATAGCGCACCTTACAATTTTTTTACAGACTTCGACCCTTACCCTGGTGTTCATCCCTTAAAAACGGTGACATGGATTCATCGGCTGCCAATCGTTACTATAAATAACTCGTATCTGGGTGGAAGAAGGCACCAAGGCGATGACTAGTCATTGAGGTAAAAGGGATGCTCAAGCAGTTTCTGAGGTCCCCAAAATTTCGTTAGAAGTTACGTAGTTAAAAGTTTGAGGTGTGAATTTTTTCCACAGGCGTAATCCGATCTCAAAAACTCAGAGATGCATGCCAGTTGGTCTATACGCTTCGGAAAATCAACAACATTGAGTAGCTCACGAATCATTTGGAATACTCGAGCTCGTACGTCTCGGATTAGGGGTGGCATGCCATAACAATCAAATACACGTGCTTTTCAGCCAGCCAAATACCCGACAGGCAGACGGAATCCAGTGTCTTTTATTTAAAGAAAAAATCAAGAAAATTTAAATTAAAAAATTGAAGGATTATTCAAAATTCTTAACTTCATGTTTCCTTCGGGGGGTTAGATTTGAAAACATGAGAAAACCTAACAATGTTTAGAAATGTTTACTGAAACGATCTAAGAAAAATATAGAAATACGTATTGGTTACCAGGTATATGGATAAATAAGGCGTTACGTTGGACAAGTCGAGTTTCTAAAACTGTTGTGTTTGGGACCCGATCATATCACTGGAATGAGTTCCGAAGCCCAGCTGCCAACTTATCTATTACAATATAGTTTTATAATGTTTGCTTATTATTCTAGAGGCAGCTGGCGCTCAAGAATCGCGTAAAAGT